AGAATCTGCTAAGGTGTGGTAGCTGTGATGTGTTGACTTTCATGTATGTATAAAGTGCTTATGTGATGCATAGCAGGCAGTAAAACCATGAAGTTAAAGTAATTTTAGCTATGTGTTAGAGTACACAATTTCATGTTGTGCACTATGCCAGTGTACAAGAATCTGCTAAGGTGTGGTAGCTGTGATGTGTTGACTTTCATGTATGTATAAAGTGCTTATGTGATGCAAGCCAGGCAGTAAAACCATGAAGTTAAAGTAATTTTAGCTATGTGTTAGAGTACACAATTTCATGTTGTGCACTATGCCAGTGTACAAGAATCTGCTAAGGTGTGGTAGCTGTGATGTGTTGGCATTCATGTATGTATAAAGTGCTTATGTGATGCATAGCAGGCAGTAAAACCATGAAGTTAAAGTAAAATTGATATGAATAGGTTAACAGTTGAAACTGTAATCAAATGAAGTTCTGGCAACAAATGATGCATTCAAAGAAGAATTTAAAAAGATAATTTTAAATTTATTATTTCACTTTATATTTTTGAAATAGCTACAGTTAGTGTTAGGGTTACAGAAATAATGGAGAAAATATATAGTTTTATTTTAAAGAAATGTTTCATGTTTGTCTAGGATGTTATAGAGTAATATGTGAAAAATTAACTTAAAAAGAAGTATTTTTATTCTTAGCATGAAAATCACCCTTCACTCAGAGTGATGTAGTAACGACTTCATAAATTCAGATAGATATTTCGTAAAAATAATGCTTTATTATAATGTCTGATTTTTTTTTGTTTACGACACACTTGTAATATTATTTAAAATCTTGCCAAGTTTCATGAATATACTTAGTACATTCAGAGTTATAGTCTGTATAGTTTCTTTGTTGGATCGTGGTGTTACAAAGGTGGTCAAGTTGAATCAGCCCATGTGCATAGGGTTAAGGGTGCATATGAGAAAGTGAAAAGTCATTGGTTTATAGTTTCATGAATTAATTTTAATATTCTTACTTAGCACACAGTGCTGATTTTTTTTTCTTACTCTGATCAAAGTTTATTTAGTTAGTGTTTTGTTTTCTTTTATTATTAATTAGAATTTTTTTATTTTTTTTATTTAAGGACTGGGAAGGAGAAAGAGATTAGTAGCACCCAACTGTCACCTGTGAAGAAACGTGTCAAGGAAGGAACTCCTCCTAAATGGGATTCGTTACCCCAGAGTCACAAAGGCTCTAGCACTTACCATTCAAACAAAGTGGTTACTAGTAGTGGCAGTAATGTACGACGCTCGAGCCCACATCTTGGGGGAGTGCAATGGTCTAATGAAGTGAAGTCGGGAAAAAATGCGTAAGTTGACAACTTCCAAGTGTATATTGTTGAAAAAATCAACAGTTTGTTTATTTTTTTAAATAGGGACTGTACATAAAATCTTTGGATTTATGTTCACTGTTTTACAGTAACTGTACAAAAATAGAGTTTGTTTACTGTGTTTAAGAGTGGCTGTACAAAAAATCAAGTGTGCATTTACTGTATTTAACTGTATCTGATCTGGCAGGGTGATATTGTGTCACTCCAGTTTGTTTTCTTTTCACACTTAAAGTTCTTAACCTAACTGCTTGGAATTTGGTATGCACTTTCTACATAATATGTAGTTTTTTGATTATAAAAATTGGTTTAGTATTTGTATCATATTTTAGGTTGTGAATTTTCAGAGATTTGTTGTTAAAACCTTGAAAAATATTTCTATCTTTTTGGTCTAATAATTTTTAATGTATGCCTAAAAGCATACAAATACACCAAATAGTTATTCTCCTTGTAAAGCTATGTCTGTGATATTTTAATAATGACATACTTTCTTGTATGTTCATACAAAGAAATAAACTATTAAGAAATGTGAAAGAAATAAATAAAATAGGATTTTCTTAAATATTATTGATCAAAAAGCTCCATTATATATATATATATTCAGTTAGGGCTAACCTAGGTTAAAGATAAATAAACAATATAAAACTAGTGAAAATAAAACAACTTAGGTGACTTTGCTATCATCTCAATAACCATTTTCAACAACCAGATATTGAGAGGCTTTAATAATGCAACAAGTGAGTTGGACTAATAAACTTTAACCTCTAACAAGATAGAAACAATGTCTAAACATGATTGGATAGAAAAGTTTCTTGTCTCTCTACTTCATGGTAAAGTAATTAACTATTGGGCAATGAGTAATGCATGAATCTGAAAAACGTTCTTATAGAGGATTCTAGTGTGAAGTTTACAAAACATGAGATTTTTTTTAAAGTTTTATTTCATGCATTCATTCATGATAACTTTTTTGTGTTCTATTATGTATTCTTTAAACTGCTACTTATAAAATAATTACATAAGGTAAAGTTATTTAGGGTTAATGACTACACTACGCTAGGCATTCTGCAACAGAAAAGTATTGAGATGACAGTCAAGCTTTTTCTTGTATGTGTTAGTAAATTTATTACACAAACAAGTACAAGAGTTCCTTACTTAATGAAAATAAACTATAATTATTAGAAAGAAACTGAGCTTTACCAAAAATATATTTAGAAAAAATATTGCTATATCAGCATAGGCTTAGCATACAAGCTATGTTTCTACCAGTCAACATTTTACTGTTCAATGGTGTTTTATGGATAAAACAAGTAATATATTTTTAAAACCTTATTTTTGCTTTAAAAAAACACTACGTTTAACTAGGGTTACCTAACATCATCAAATGAATATAATTAAATCTTTTATACAATTTTCACAGTTACTTAACCGCTTCACGGCATCCGTTTACTGCACACGGGCACACAATTTCATCTGCTTACATTTTGTAATAACTTAGCAATATTATGTGTAATTCGCAAAGAAAAATTTGTGCAGTTCCAGTAGGTATCACCTATGAACAAAGGCCTTATACATTTTTTCAGAATTTTTCTGCTCTTCCAATGGTATAGGTTTATATTTATCCAGATCCTGGTACTCCTTAGAAATGGACTTAGCCAAGGTTTTGTTTTGTTGCAACTATGATGTGAATGAAACATCAATGTTTAGGTTTTACTGGCACAAAAAAAAGTCATCAAATGATAAATTTTGTTGCAAACAAAAGTAAAAAAATCATAAAATGCAATTCTGACAAAGCCCAGAGTAGATCCTGTTTAACAGTAGAGAACTGGGTAATAGGGATAATACTTAAGTTCTAATTCTGTATCAGAAGCAGAATTTTTGTTAATCATTTAAACGAATCACTTGGTGAAAAGTCTGCTGATTGATTTACTCTATTTCTAGATTTTCTTAGATAAGTTTGTAAACAGTACATTTTCATTTGCTTTTTGTCAAATTGGAAAAGCTAGATATTTTATAGATTGGTTTATGAATTTTTGGTAAATCTTAAAAAAAATTAGTTTTAATTTGAAGATATATTTTTCAGTTCATCAGTCACTTCTGTCTGTAGGAACAAGAAAGTAATGTACTCTCCAGAACATCAACAGACCATTGTGATCAGAGATACGCCAAGTCCTGCAGACAGTGTGGTGATACTGAGCTCGGATTCCGAGGATGAAAATGAGAGTCCCACTTGGTGAGAAGAAATAATTTATTTGTTCTATGTAGAACTGTCCTGAAGAAAAATAATTATTCACTTTCTTTGACAAGAGTCTTAGTAAAACATCAGCACAAAGGCCAAACTGACATAAGAAGTACTGTATGTAGTTTACTAATGATACTAACATTTAAAAAGGAAGATTTTATTTTGAAATTTTTATTAAACATTTCCAATTGTATATGTCAATAAAAATTGAAAATGTGATAAATATTTATCAACTTTTTTTTTACATCATAGTAGTAGTAGTGGTAGTAGTATAATTTCAAATTGACTATAACATCCAATCCTCATTTGAAATTTCTTGTTACATGTTAAAAAAAAACAACGTTACTGTATTTTCTGAAATAATGAACTGTTTTCAGCTGTACAAACAAAGACTTGGTTCAAGATAGAGGCCCTCTAGTGAATGTCAAGAATCTTGTTCACAAAACATCAACTTTAGGTCCCTCATCAGTTGCTGCCACAACTTGTGCCAGTGTTCTTCCATTAACACCAGAGTCTGAAGCTGGAATCTACAGCTTGCAGTCCACACCAAGACAAGGTAGGTACTAAAACTGGAATAAATAATTAAAACTATTACAAGTCTGATGAATTTTGAGTTTGTATAGTCTGTAAAACTAGTTTACTTGAAACCTGGTTTTCATATCAATGTTAATGTTTATCAATAAACATTTTCCCCCTTCAGGAACTTGGACAAACAAGGTAAATTGTTTTAAACTTAAACTTAGAGTATTTTATAAAATGAGCCAAGTGTCATATTCAATAATACTTTACAACTTATTTCACAGTACGGTGGTAATGTATATCATTATAGCAATGTCTAATACACTATATCACTAGCAAGAAGAACTTTATTTTTATTTGTGGTAATGTGTATCATTATAGCACTGTCTAATACACTATATCACTAGCACGAAGAACTTTATTTTTATTTGTGGTATTTTGTGGTAATGTATATCATTATAGCAATGTCTAATACAATACATCACTAGCAAGAACTTTATTTTTATTTGTGGTAATGTATATCATTATAGCAATGTCTAATACAATACATCACTAGCAAGAACTTTATTTTTATTTGTGGTAATGTATATCATTATAGCAATGTCTAATACACTATATCACTAGCAAGAAGAACTCTATTTTTATTTGTGGTAATGTATATCATTATAGCACTGTCTAATACACTATATCACTAGCACGAAGAACTTTATTTTTATTTGTGGTATTTTGTGGTAATGTATATCATTATAGCAATGTCTAATACACTATATCACTAGCAAGAAGAACTTTATTTTTATTTGTGGTAATGTGTATCATTATAGCACTGTCTAATACAATACATCACTAGCAAGAAGAACTTTATTTTTATTTGTGGTAATGTGTGTATCATTATAGCACTGTCTAATACAATACATCACTAGCAAGAAGAACTTTATTTTTATTTGT